CTCTCGGGCCAGAAGCGCATGGAAAAGGAGTTACTGATTCAGGACGACTTCCAGCACAAAACCACCGATTCTCGCCAAATGGCTGCTGAACTCTACCTCTGCGGGGCCTCTCTAGACGACATCCAGAAGGCACTCGCAAAGTACAACAACCCTGGAGAGCACGTTGATCCTGAGACTTTGCTCCCTCCACACTTGAAGAAGTGGTCATCTCGGTTATTTAACCGTCAGAAAGCTGATACGCTACCCCCACATCGAGACTGCGACCTGAAGATTGAATTGAAGCCTGGTTCATCTCCTCCCCATGGACCTCTATATAATATGTCTATCCCAGAGTTAGAGGTCTTACGTAAGTACCTCGACGAACAGCTGAAGAAGGGGTTTATTCGAGCAAGTAAATCCCCGGCTGCCTCCCCAGTACTTTTCGCAAAGAAGCCTGGTGGAGGACTACGCTTTTGCGTGGATTACCGAGCACTAAACGATATTACGATCAAAAACCGGTATCCGATACCCCGAATCCAAGAGACACTCCAACGACTCAGCAAAGCAAGGTACTTCACCAAAGTCGATGTCATTGCAGCATTTAACCACATACGAATTAAGGAGGGGGACGAATGGCTAACAGCTTTCAATACTCGCTACGGCCTCTTCGAATCTCTAGTCATGCCATTTGGCCTTACGAACGCTCCAGCAACCTGGCAAGCCCGGATTAACGAAGTACTCCGCCCGTTCCTGGATATCTTTTGCACTGCCTACATAGACGATATACTCATCTATTCAGACGACTTGACCTCGCATCGTAAGCAGGTCGAACAAGTGTTCGAGGCTCTCGAAAAAGCCGGCTTCCAGCTGGACATTAAGAAGTGCCAGTTCGAAGTCCAGGAAGTCACCTATCTAGGCATGATTATATCAACGGATGGAGTGAGAATGGACCCTGAGAAGACCTCGGCTATCACGAACTGGTCTAGGCCAGCTCACCTCAAAGACCTCCAGGCGTTCCTTGGCTTCTCGAACTTCTACCGGCGCTTTGTTAAGGATTTCTCGAGGTTAGTTAAACCATTGAATTTACTATCTAAGAGAGGCGTAAGGTGGGAATGGACCTCGACTTGTGATAAATCGTTTCAAGCACTTAAGCAAGCATTCACTTCTGCACCAACACTTAAGCACTTCGACCCAGAGAAGGAAGTCATTGTCGAATGTGACTCCTCCGACTACGTCTCGGCCGGCATCTTGTCCCAATACCACGATGGAGTTCTCTACCCTGTTGCCTTTATGTCAAAAGTCCTCGACCCCGCGGAATGCAATTACGAAATCTATGACAAGGAACTACTTGCCATAGTACGTTCCTTCGAGTCCTGGCGCTCCGAACTTGTGGGAACCGCGTACCCTGTGTCAGTAATCACTGATCACTCCAACTTGAAGTACTTTATGACTACTAAGCAACTGACCCGCCGTCAAGTCCGGTGGAGCGAGTTTCTCTCTGAATTCGACTTTGTTATTAAACCTGTACCTGGTAAGAAGAACACCAAGTCCGACTCACTTACTCGTCGATCCCAAGACCTCCCGAGCCGAGACGACGACCCTCGGATTATATACCAACAACAGTCACTTCTCAAACCTCAAAATTTAGACCCTGCCATTCGCTTAGCACCTCTAAACGAGGAAGAACGACCCACTGAACAAGAGGAACCAGAACCAGAACCAGACGAGCAGGGAACTGAATCCGACGACCATATCTTGACTAGGATGTTAGAGGAGGGGTACAAGGAAGACCCTTTCTGGAAGAAGACTTCTAAGGAAATGAACAGAGAAGACCGCACACCACACTCCAAAGAAGTCGCATTGTCCGAGTGTCGGATCGACGACGGCAGGCTATACTTTCGGGACAGGCTATATGTCCCAGATACAGAACTACGAGTATGGCTTCTCCAAAGAGCCCACGACTCGGTCGAGAGCGGTCACCCAGGCAAGAACAAACTATTCGAGCTCATGTGTAGACATTATTGGTGGCCGAAACTTTACCGCGATATCACCCAATTTTGTAGAGCCTGTACAAACTGTCTTCGGAACAAGTACTCCCAGCTACGATACCAGGGCACTTTAAAATCACTCCCAATACCGCTTCAAAGATGGAGAGACTTATCAGTCGACTTTATGGGCCCTATTCTGTTGGTCGATGGATTTGACCAGATTATGGTCGTTACAGATAGGCTCACTAAGGATTGCCACATTACACCATGCAACAAGGATATGAATGCAGCCGAGCTGGCTCGCTTATTCGTGCGAGACGTCTGGAAGCTTCATGGACTACCAGACACTATCGTCTCTGACCGGGGTTCCTTATTCCTCTCAGACTTTTGGAAATCCGTCTGCGAAGTACTACGGGTTCGAGTTGATCTCTCTACTGCATACCACCCAGAAACTGATGGCCAGACCGAAGTCGCTAACAAATCCATTTCCAAGTACCTACGTCAGTACATCGACTTCGCCCAGACAGATTGGGTTCAATTCCTACCCTTAGCCGAGTTTGCTATGAGAAACGTAGTCAGCTCTGCAACTGGCATATCTCCGTTCTTTGCAAACAACGGTTATCATCCTCGCATGAGTTTTGGGCCACCTCGATCACCTACGCTCACCTCTCAGAACGCTCTTGCGGGAAGAACTTTTGCTCGGAAGATGGAGGAGATCTTGGGCTACTTACGTACTAATTTGCTTACTACGAGGGACCGTATGGAGGAATCTGCGAATGCGAACCGATCACCAGCCCCAGCGTACAGAGTAGGTGACATGGTTATGTTAAGCACAAGGAATATCAAGTCAGCGAGACCTATACCGAAATTCGACGCCAAGTACATTGGCCCCTACCGAGTACTTCAAATCATGAACTCCCACTCCTATAAGCTGGAGCTTCCCTACGAATTACAGTCCATCCACCCGGTTTTCCACACTAATTTGCTACGCCCCGCCGCCGGCGTCCCGATGCCAGGGCAAGTCAACCTAGCACCTCCACCTGTGACAGTAGACGATGGAGGACATGCTCTATGGGCAGTGGAGGAGATAGTAGACTCGAGGAGGAAGGGTAGAAAATTCGAATATCTGATAAGATGGCGAGGTTATAGCCAAGAGGAGAACTCATGGGAGCCATTGGTCAATGTTATCTATAGCGTAGCCTCGATACGTACCTTCGAGACTAGATTCCCTAATAAGCCTAAACCGACAAAGAACGAACGGTTGAGAGCTTTTGCGGAACGAGAAAAGGTGTAGGAAAGAGGGACCTTATGTAACAGATTTGATTCAGTGAATTCGAGGCTTGGTGTCGGGTAGATTTCGGGAAACAAGGCACTGTAGATAGATAAGTAGCACTTCTGCTTGGAGAACTCTTCTCTCCTCGCAGACAATCTAATCATACACCCTGACATTCTATTACCGCTAGAACCTATTAAGAGCACGGGGTTATAGAGGGGCCGCCAAAGATTATTTAGTACAGGACGGCAAAGAAGAATATATAAGGTATGTAGACAAGATAGAAGTATTTCTGGAAAACAAAATTAGAGAGCTTCGTATGAATTCAAGACTTGAAATTCAGAGATAGAAGTTTCTAAAGCGTCTAGACTGTTATTTCGCTTAATATCAAGCTTAGCACTAGCCTTGATTTCATTTTTACCTAACTAAGTACTAATTATACAAGATCTCTAAACTTCTCCAAAGCTCCTTTACCACATCTAATTACAAAGTTAATACTAGCTAGGTAAACAAACACCTCGCTTAACCCACCCAAACTCCCCTAAGTTGTAAACCCCCTCTACCCCCATCCACCTGCCGAAACTTCGGGCCCCTATAAGCCCACTTCTACAAGATTCACCCCCCCCCCCCANCAACCATTCCAAATCATAACCTCAAATAAGCCTCCAGCTATCCAATCAAAAACATATGTACAAACAAAAGCTCGATTAGTCTAGTGGTAAAACGCTTCCCCCTCAATCCGACATTGTAGCAACCTTCGCTACTCCCTTCTGTTAGCTTGCCCCTTGGCCTGGGGGCGTTCAGCCTTGGTTTTATCTGCTCCAGAGCTATTGCCGTCTGCTTCGTTCGGTGCCATACAAAGGGGATACGACTTCTGAAGGACCTGTGACTATGTAGTCATTAGGGGTGTCGTGAGGCCTGGGGAGAGTCATCAGTTCGATTCTGATATTGAGTATCAAAATCTTTTTTTTGGAATTTCTTTTGGTGTAGATTTAGATTTGGTCTAGCTACGAGTTTTTGGTGTTGGTGGGTTGGAGTAGAATTCACCTTTGCGAGTTTATACCTATTAACTTTTGATAGGTAGGTAAGTGTGAGAGGCCAGACCTCGAATAGCTCAAAGGTGTGTGTGGTTTCGAATATTGAATTAAGAAGTGCGTGAAGACTACATACATACATACAAGCTCTTTCTCTAGAGGAAGAGCTTCTAGAATATTCCAAGAAACTGCTTAACAAATACATGATGTCAAGAGAATAGAACAGAAAAGTATAGAAAAGAAGAGACTTGCTTGGCAGTGGGGTTATGGCCAGTGCTGAGCAGGGACTTTGGTCAGTGCTTAGCGAGGGCATGGCCCGAGCCTCCATCATGGGTTCCAACCCTCACAGTAAGAGGCTGAGGAGGTTTAGACGTTCCACGTATCAACGCCTAGTTTACCTACAGGTATTAGGACGTAAGCCAGTGTACTACGCTGCTCTGGCCCTACTCAAATCTACTAGCCAAGTAAAACTTACCCAACTAGAGCAGAGTACGACTTAAATCCAAGTAGATAATGAAGGTAGAAAGATAGTAGCATGAATCTTAATGACCGTAAACTCATTTGTACGTAAGAGTACGAATGGATCGGGGAATGTGGTTCGCTTGGTGAATAGCAATGTGACTCGAAAAGTAAAAGTGAAAGTGGATAGAGATATGCGAGTCTCCACTTCTACTACGACTCACTTCTCTTCTTCACTAGGGTATTTCAATCCTTTCGATCCTAATAGATAACCCCAAGTAATTTGGTATAATCATCGTTGAACTATTCCAAGACTTGCTAGCATAATATCTTCTTCCTCATACATGTACAAGTACCCACCGAGAACTCTGCCTTCTGTCATGGTATCTTTAAACGCCGAATCCCACATTCATCTATACAAAGTCGTGTAGTCCCCATCCCATTTCACAATCTTTCAGCCCCAAGAATAACACCAGACAATGCATCGTAATCATAATCATGAATCCTAGAACCACCCCTTTCAAAAGACTCAAACAGGCGGCACCGCCCGTCCAGCCATCGTCCCCGTAACTCTCGCTCCCACTAATCCCCTTCTATCCCTCCCCATTCTACCTCGTCCCAGCCAATTCAACTTCAAGCCCCTCGTAAGTTCTTCCATCTTCCTCTGACTTCCTTCTTCCCCTCCCGCACCAACTCCGACGCTAGTAAGCACACTCATACACTGTAACACCCTACCCACGGTCTCCGTTACCTGTTTACTGCTATCCTCTACGCTCTTCTCTCTCTGGCGATGTATTGGATGCGTGGAAGAGGGAGTGAAGGGTCGCTGAGGTGGTGGGATGGTGTTAATTCCAAGTCCAGCGGCAGAGTCAGAAGTATGAGAGACGTTGGAGATGGCGCGGGACCGGTTGCCGCTGCCGTCACCCGAGGAACCGCCTAGAAGAGTAGTGGTCTGGGAGTTATATGAGCCATAAGAGGGATCAAGCGACATGGCAGTCGAGGGACGACCAAAGGAGTCGGGGGATGTAGAGAGAAGAGAGATGTCTGTCGGTGGGAGGGCTAGAGATATAGAGTCTAGTGAGAGACGAGAGAAGATTGTTTTAAGGGTGTTGAAGCGAGGAAGGATTACAATATCCCGGTATGCGGTAAGCACTATCCTTCTCACTTCTAACGCCTGTGACGCAGGCACACTTCCGTTCGATGACGATAATGGAAGAGCACCCCAAAAATCTCTTGCCGCCTCTGGAGACATCAAAAGTCCATGCCCACTAAATTCCAGATCAAGCGGGAGAAAAACGGCTTGCATATATGGCAGAATTGAGGTAAAGGTAAAGAGCCACATTTCTACAAGATGTGGAATAAGTTGTTCATCAGGAATCCTTCGTAAATTCTGATTTAGAGAACTAAACCCTGTCGCAAGGAGATCTCTCAAGTCATCTACAACCAAGTTTGGGGTGCGTTTTTGTATACAACGTTGAAGATGGATACTATTTTGTCAGTAATCGTTTTTGAAGTTGAAGTTGATACATACGTGACTAGACGATTCAAGTCCTCCACCGGAAGTCTCAAATCCTCACCCTCGAAAATAACCAGAAGTTTTGCTCTCAGATACGGCCAGGCATCATCAGAAGTCATCCCATTCAAACCATACTTGCCAAGTTCCTGTGCCTCACCGCCATAAACGCTACCGGCGTAGACACTGGCTCCAGATCCCACAGCAGAACCTAAACTTGATGGACCCAGCCATTCGTTATTATTTTGATAGGACAATTCACTTTCTCTCAACGCATCAGACTTCTCCTCTTTTTTCTTCTCTCTCAAAGCTCTACCTCCATGCCTCAAATCTAACCCACTCATGCTCTTGGCAAAACTCGTGGTTGAAGGGCCTGGACTGGGAGGAAGATTGAAATTGTATAAACTGCTGGGGGCATTGGGATCCGCTGGCCTCGAGTTACTAGCTGCCGAAGATAATGGTAAATGGTGCTCATCCTTACTAGATAACTTGTGCTTTTGCCTTGACAAGAAATGATGCTTATGTTTCTCTTTCTCTTTTTCGTTGGATGGAGGCTCCGGGCCCCGGATGGTCGCTGAAGAGGAATTGGCCATGCTGTACATGCTTGCGGCGCTCGACATAGAATCTGTCAAACTGTTGGTACTGAAGTTTCCTCGTTGCAGTGACTGCAGGGTATATGAGGCCATCTTACTTGGACTGGGCAATGCTCCACGACTGGCCTCTTTGTCTTTGCTTATCCCGATTTTTCCTGGTCTGGAAAATAGCTTTACTTTGCTCTTCGACTCCTTACTGATGGGCTTGTCGGGCTGCGTCCGAAGTTGGTCGTGTTCCGAAAGTGGAAGACCCGGTGATAAAGCAGAAGATTTTGGAAACACCACATTGGCCGCTGTTTGAGCCGCGCTTTGATGCCCGCCTGCCAATAACCCATTATGATACACCTGCCCTCCGAAACCGTTATCTCTTGGCCCGGATGCCTCTGTAAGGCTCAACAACGGCGTACTCGTTGGTCCTCCAGCTCGACTCGGCCTACGACTTCCAGACGTACTCGAACCCGAATCGCCATTGTTGTATTGGGATGGCACTGTCTGCGACCTTTGGCGTGAGTGAGTATGCTGCATGGCAGCTTGGGCAGCAATCTGGCTCGCGCTCAGCCCTGAATTTGCGTTCGCCATATTGCTCAACTTGGAGGCTGCTGCGGTAGGTAGGTATGGCTCAAAGGACCCTTGCTTTCGACTGTGACCCCGTACAAATTCCCCCGATTTCTTCGATGTGCCTACTGCTGGCGAAGCATTCCTCAAGGGAAGATCCGAACGAGTTTGTGTGGGCGGGGTTGGTCTGGAGAAGTTCTGCAAGCTTCCTGTGCTTGAGTTTGAATGGGATGTTGCATAGGGGGGTCGTGGAGGCGGGGGCATAGGCCCATTCTTCGTTCGAGAGTTGGATACGGATTCTGAGTCGTCGGATGAGGATGAATAAACGCGACGTAGAGCTGGCCGCGAGGATGTATTCGAGGAGAAGGGCAATTGAGCTTGCGATGGAGTGCCAACAGCGGGGGAAAAGCTGCCAGGCGTTCGTGCACCTCGAGGCGGAATTGCTGGAGGTTGTGACATGGTTGCTGTTGGTGTTAGGACGAAGGTGCTACAGCTACATTCCTCGTTTGTGGGTTCACATGCTGTAGGAGTAGTTGTGATAGCTGCACGGATAGGGTCTTGCAGGGCGAACTATTATGGGCGTCACCGTATGTCGACGGGAGCAATTTATATGGAGGTATGGATGGTAGAGAAAAAGACGTTGAGGACGAATGAATACCTGCTGAGCTTCTATCAGGTGAGTGAGAGTAGCCCCCGTGCCGCCGAGCGGCGCAAACGGCAGTCTAAAGGTATATCACATTCAATAAGTGGCCTACCGACTGAGCACAATTTTATTAATTGCACAACTTTACAGCTATCGTTTTTCTTCTCTTTTTTGTGACGAATACTGAATATGTTTTGCTTGTTTTGTTACCTACCTAGGTAGACCCAGAAGGCCTGACATTGAAGTTACTTGACTGCTACATACAGCTACCCCAGATTCATCGGATCTTCCTTCCTTGCGATGCCACGCCTCGCCACCAAGCTGCCTCACAGCACGGAACTCTAAATTTTATCAACACCACACCACGACCCCGCGCTTACCTTCCATCTCCTCCACCCACCAATCTCGGTAATTCGACAATAAAAATACCCCTTAGTCCTCAAAATGGCAGAACAAATCTCAGCCGCATCAAATGGCACGAATGCCACCAAAACGCCTACCCTAACAGCGACTTACTCTTCTCCCATCAACCCCTCCTTCACACACACACAAACCCTTCCCTCCCCCGCTGAGAAAACAGCTTATCTCGCCGCGCTTCGGAAGGCAACAGCCGAAATGCAAGACACAATAAACAAGGAGCTCACCACGCGCATGGAGGATGACAAGAAACTTGCAGAAGGAGCCACCAGTGGGACCAAAATCGACGAGGCAAAGGAGGAAGACAATTATGGAGAGGAGGTGGTTGAAGAAGACTGAACGAGCACACGCGCAAATCAATGATAAGGCATGGGAATTTATATGCATGATATTATGCTATGACATATACATACATCGCTCTCTCCCATGGTACTCGTACCGTCTTCCAAAAGTCCGGAAAACAACAGACTCCGCGCTATGTTAAGATTTTGTATGAGAAATTCATATATTGGCATCACCTCCAAGAGGCCGATCTCAAGGCCTCCATACCACTGCCCGCCGGTCGTTTGTCCGCCCTATTCAAACATCCGTAATGCACCACTCCATTGTCGGGTAGTACCGCAATAACGCTTCCACCCAACCTCTTGTGGCAGACGCGGCAGACCTTCTCCTTTTCAACAAACACTCCTCTACTCCGTCCTCCTTTGCCGTTTTGTATGCGATCACCTAAGAGTAGTCCAGCCTGCGCATTGACAACCTCGCTCTTGCGCATCCCCACAACTATCCTGGATTCGTTGACAATCGAATTTGCGTTTCGTATGCGCCCTTTGAAATATGATTCGAGTTCTGCGATAGGCAAGGTTTCTGGAATAAGGCTCAGAGTCGAGGATGCGGGGAGACGTGAACCATGTTTAGAAAGCAGGTCTAGAGCAGGCAGCCAATTAGAGGAATGAGGTGGCGGAGGTGTCAAATAGAGGGATAGCAGTGTATGATAGATGGAAGGTATGGGGTCATCCGGTTCTGAGGTCGATGCTCGCTGCGGTGACGGCAAATCTGATTGAAGATGGACATGGTTGCAATACCTAGCAGTTATCAGCAATTGTGGAAGAAAGAAGAGAAAGGAAGATCATACTCTTCCGCTTTCTCAAAATTCTTCATTTTGAAAACGTAAATTTCGAGTGCCTGTTTATGTGATCCTATGTTACTCAAAACGATAGCTTGTGGCTCGTAAAAGTCGGGATCTAGAGATGCGTTAGTACGGGCAATCTCAAATTCCAGTTTATTCACTGACCATCTTTGGGCATATTTCCAAATGCTTTTGTGAATGAATATTGCCTGCTTGATCGTAAAAACGCTATGATTTTGGTCATAAGGTTCTTTCCATGGTCCGAATCTCGTTTCTTCAAGCCCTTCAACTCGTCCAAGTAAGCCGAAACTAATTGATTGTGATACTCAGGCGTCAGATCATTCAATTCTGTTATGATATGCTCCAAGTATTTGACAGCCAGAGCAGTATCCACCCCCTCTAGAAACTTGACAACTCGATCCCTGGGCAGACTTTCCGCATTCTCTGTATCTCCGAGGAAAACCTCCATTGAAAGTCCTGGATCTGCTCTTAGTGGCCATTCGGCGAATTCAAGAATGAGATCAATCATTTCCGGAGGAAGGTTCTGCAAGTACCCAATCGTTCTTCGAGGACCATGCAAAGGAGAATCCTTGTCTTTCTCATCCATACCAAACTTTTTGAGTAGTTCCAAGGCCGGTCGATGAAGTTTCTTGCCGTGGAAGAAATCCACGAGATCGTTGTATCTTCCAGTCTCCAAGAGTTTTTCATTAATCACATCAGGATCACAGAAATTTGGAATACGAAAGAGTGATCCAGCTAACTGTGGGCGAGCCAACATGTATGAACGAAATAGTGTAGTGTCGATAAGCTTTGCCGTTTCCCGCAGCTTCTGTTCTCGATCCTTCTCAGCATCTGATGCTGGGGCGACAAGAAATGATTCAAACGCAGGTTGTGTTGCTCCATTCTGGCCATTTGTAGTGTCGCGAGGTAATATTTTACCTGTTTCGGCGTCGATCCATTTCTTCATCCTGGTTCTCGCTTGGACCAGAAAATGGTTGAGTTCAAGAGCTGCTTTCTCAAGATCCTTTCCTTCCAAAGGTCCATCCTCTGTGTGTCTGCCCCCAGCATCGCTTCCATTAGCACCATCTAGCCTGACGAACGAGCGTATTGAGGATGTATCGGAACCTGTCTTGTGATTATGGGATTTGAGAAATTTGCTAATAGCAGCAGGCTTTGGTGAGCCCACCGCATCGAGTTTGTCCTCTCCTTGAGAAGACTCTCCGTTAGCTTCGTCACTTCCATCCTCACCACTCGCTTCGTTTTCGGTATGGTGTTCTTCTGGCGATGATAAATCGCCTGCAATAACTGGTGGGTAAAGCCTGATGACTCTCTCAGGTGGAGCTTGGACATCATCGGCAAGAAATATATCCATAGCATCTTGATATTTCCTACGATCAAAGAGGACTTGTGCCTTTTGCATTTTAATTTCCCTCAGTCTTTCTCCCTTGTTTTGTACAAGAGCATCTTCCAGCATATTAAGGACGCTTATGGCCTCATCATAGAGTCCGTGTGCCACAAGTTCATCCGCCTGAGAATCATAGCCAGTAGATCCCATCTGCCAAATACATCTATCGCTAGAGACATGGAACCCCTTGGCTTGATGTGGCAGGCTAATATTTGGTGGAGGAAAGTGTAGTTGGCTAGCATTGGGAAGCGTGATGGTCTGCAACAATGACAATGTATCTGGATTTCTGACTTCCAATGCTCCCTTGGAGGGCGACTGTAGTGCTAAGATGTAGGGATATGAATACCCTATACCTTCAGGGGCGGATTGCCACGGTATTTGTCTTTTTGGTTCAGGTTTGCCTTCTGAGGTAATGAACAGAGAATTTATGTCCTTGGTGAGGAGCATCTCGCCATCAGCAAGCTTTGCGGCTAGGGGCTTTGGAATATATCCACCCAAACCCATATACCCCATACTTGCAGACCCAACACCTCCAAACCGCCCTCCCTGTGGGCCGGCAGCACCACCGATAGCCCCGGGACCAACAATATCTTCCACTTCCTGAGTGAGAACATCGACTATCACATAGCCAGAATTCATACCACATATTATTTTCGTCGCCGAAGTCCAAGTGAGGGTCCGTATCGATTCGGCCAGTGTAATCTCAACAACATCTGTTTCAAACTCTGACTGGTGCCACGACCATAGTAATAACCTCCGCTTGACCGCTACCGCAAGTCTGGATATAATTTCCGGTATCCCACTGGCAGAATCTTTTACAATATTCGAAGTGACGGCAAATGTAGTGGCATTTTTCGTTTTCGTCAACTGCTCTTGCAGGGTATAGGACTGTAAATCATGTAAAGAGACATAGTAATTCGACAGGGAAATGAGGGTGTTAGCCTCTTTGATCTGCGCCAGTTGTTCAATGCTTCTCGTCGAAAACTTCTCTATCTCTCGCAGAAGATCTACCGGTTTCGGGGCAGACCTGGGAGAGGGGAGAGAGTCGGCGCTTCCATCTGCATTTGCAGCTCCATTTTCCCTATCCTCGTCCTTTGGTAACTGATTGACACGATATATTCGAAGGCTCCCGGTGTTCAGTCCAACCAGAAGACGGTCGCCTGCACAACATTAGCCTCACATTTTTGATGCTATTACACATGGCACACACCATATGCTGATATGGACTCGATCTTGGATTTGTCTCTTTGCTTCAGCTCGACAATAGGCCGAGCTGTAAATGCGGAGAGCATCGCGACCATGTGCCGGCCTCAACAAGTTGCTGGCTTGCGTTACGAGGGCTTAACCATGAATGCTGGAGATGACCCCAGGAAATAACGAGCAGCCTGCGCAGCGTGGTGGTTTCATGGGCGCATGATACTGTCGTGGAAGCTCTTGGTTACGTACTGGTGCTGTACAGTATGTCCAGTACATAGCTCTCCTGCACAGGCGGAGGTTAGGTTTGCGACAGGCCGATGACGATGCCGAGGTGAAATATGGCAACCTCGCGACTTCTCCCACTTCATCCCACACATCATATATATATATATATATATTCACACATTTGAAGCCGCAATAAACTATCGCTTCGTCATTGTGTTGCCATGTGCATGTACCACGATTCATAGCATTCAATAGTACAATCATCATTCTTCAGTCGAGTTTGTGCGATCTCCGCCCATCTGGGAGGGAGGATACAGCTCTTTTCCATGAATCCAAGTACCGGTACTTTGGCACTCGTCGTTATTCCAGGCAGTTAGCATCAACTCTACAGCTTCTTTATCTAACAAAATTTGCGCTGTATTTCTCGTCGTTCTCTTTTGATTTCAGCAAGAGGACTGTGCTTCGTCCCGCTCGATTGCAGCCCCTCTAAGCGGCTCGTTAATTGCCAAAAGGGGAACTCGTCTCATTTCGTTGTCTGCGATGTAGCCATCATTGGTGGTGCTGGTACTGGCCATCATCAACACTGGCATGCAGGGGCTATGTAGCTTTTGAATGATGTATGATTCTCGAGGCTACCGCAAATACTTTGCTGTCGTATTCCAGGGTATGGAGGCGCATAAATAGAGAATGCTACAACAGGAGGCCAAACAATAATCTAAGACATCGACGTCCAGTATCTGACATTGGACCTTCTACCTACAGGTACACCGTATGCCATGGAATAGCCAGAAGTCTGACTACTACCACAGTATAACTGGCGATGGCTTACATACGTGCTGCATAGAAACACGTTGCACGAGAAATATTCGAGAAATCGGGCTCTCAGCTTTTAGAACGGCAGCGCCTACATATTTGTTCCTCCTTTTCCCCATTTCTCTTCTATTCCTGCTTTTCTAACTAGAAATCTCAAAGATGGGAAACGGATGAAATCCATTTCTTGATAAGGGGGGTCTTCTAAGGCTAGCACGAACACTTGCGGAATCAGGCCATCCAATGTTGCAAAATCCCGGCCCCCCTCGAGAAGTAAAAGACTGGTAAGCTAGGGCTAAAGGGGGCAGTGCTGTTTTATTACAGTACACAACACCCGTAATTTTCGTTTCGGCAAGATCCCCATCGCTTATTCGCAGTTGAGGACATCGGTTAGCGAGAGGATTGGATTGTGGGAGAGCCGTTGGCTGACATGCAAGGCAGAGGCACACAGAGGAAACTCGACTCCTCAATGGTCACAGTCAGGTTGTATCAGACGCCGCATTGGGTGCGCGTCGTCACCAAGCAGTCTTGGAAAGGTGATATATACGGGAGTGGGAATTGTTAAGGACTTTAAGTTCCGATTTTTGCACAAGCGTTGATGTAAACATATCGTCTCTCCTTTCTAGTAGTATCCTCAGCCTTCACTTTTCATCCATAGTCGTGTAACCTGTCCATATCAGCACTTCCTTCCCACTGAAGTTATTATATCAAGTTGGTCAACATGGGGCCCAACTGTCTTTGTATGTCTCGCTGTCATTCGATGGGTGACAACATCCGCTAATATGAATTCCACACAGCGGTCTACGACCCAGACAATACTTGGAACTTCTGTCCCTCCCTCCCAGCTGCAATCCTATTCACAGTCTTGTTTGGGATCGTGTCTGCTCTTCATGTATTCCAGGTACGCGAATTCTGTATTATTTACAATTGCAATCTAACGAATTACATAGGCTGCCAGATACAAAACGACATTCTGCTGGGCCATAATAATGGGTGCCCTCTGGGAGACTGCATCATTTTTGATCCGAAACATCTCCATCTATAATCCCAAGTCTGAAGGTCCTGCCGATACATGGTTTCTCTTGTTCCTACTAGCACCTCTATGGATCAACGCCTTCGACTACATGTTATTGGGACGAATGGTATTTCAATATCTTCCCAACCAAAAGCTGGGGGGTATCAAGGCGCAAAGAATGGCGTTATACTTTGTTATCTTGGACATTGTGTTCGTTGTCCAACTGACCGTGCTTGGGCGAACCGAACTGAAGCTGATGTGAATACAGTTCCTTCATCGTTCAAATCGGAGGCGGCCTTATGGTTATCAGCAAGAACAACAAAACCAGAGAAAACGGTCTCCACATCTACACCGCGGGTTTGGTTTTGCAGGAATGCTTCATCCTCGTTTTTGCAGCCCTAGTGTTCACATTTAATCGCCATGTCAAGAGAGAAGCGCCCGTAGAGCAAGCAGCTAGAGCAAAGAAACTAGTACTAGCTTTATACGCCTCCCTCGTTCTTATCTCTGTAAGCTCTATTTCCCCTCCCTCAAACTACTCATTCATTCCTCATAACTATCCAGATCCGTATCATCTACCGCCTCCTTGAGTTCGCCGGCTCCTTCGATAGTGCACTCACCCAAGAACTCTGGACCCACGAAGTCTACCAATATGCTCTTGACGGAACGCCTATGTTCTTCGCGCTCCTCATTATGGTTGTTATGCATCCAGGGCAGGTTCTTCCGGGGGAGATGAGTACTTTCAAACAGTTCTCTCCGAATAGGGTAGTCATGCAGGGCGAGCAGAAAAGTGGTCGTAGGTTCTTTGGGAGAAAGAAGGTTGGTAGTAGTGGGAGTAGCTTGGAACCTATTCAGATGAATGCTGCTCCGGGTCAGGATAATTCTTGGGCGAAGCACTGAGTCAGGCTGGGCTGTGAGGGACGTTGCAAGGGTCTCCGAATTGTAGAGTGTGTGGCGCCATTTTCATAGAGTCCAATCTGCGAATACCTGTTGTGGGGGCCACAATCTAATGTAGCTAGAAGAGGACGCAAGTCGGGTATGGCTGTTCAGCGGCAATATACCAAGGGAAGAGGTGTGGGTGGTTAATATACAACGTGGGGGTACTTTTGTTTTCGGTTGGTAAATGAGATATCCTGGAATAGGAATCGTGCAAGGAATGAACATTTTCTGTCTGCCCAGGCTGTAATTAGTACACAGTAATATAATAGTTGCGCGCGCTTGCATTGTTTGGAATTGAAATGTAGAGTAAGTCTGGTACTCATATGTTCCTGTATGCCTTCTCAGTTGCTGTCGTGGCTCACAGTTGGTCTCTTGCCTAATCGGGGATGCGGTGTGTTCCATCCTACCCAAAGTATTAGTGTTGGTAGGTACAGTACCCCTGCGCAGCTGGGTGAGGTTGATATTATGCAGGGGCTTTACTGTACAGTATGAGGATTCTCGCTGGCGCTTGGGGAAGTAGTGGGGTCATGAATACCGAGTTTGAGATAAATTGAGTCTAAGATCCAACAGTTTTACAGTGATTGTCCTTTATTTATATTATGTAAAGACCTCTGGTTCTCCTGCTATAGCGGTTTTGGAAGCAATTTGCTGTTTTGTTGTAAGTGATTTACTGTATGCAAACAAGGTATATATATTGCCATGGCTTGTGACTCTTCATTTGGGTTCTTGTCTTGAGTGTGTTCATGCTTTGAGCAGATAAAATCATATTGTTATATTGCAACTATCGCAAATCATCCTATGGATCGCTTGGATGGTTTGAAAATTCAACTCCTTGGTTGGACCTCGCAAATGTCTTTGGTCGTGGTAGAATCACTTCTGCCCTAGAATCCCAATTCAAGCAATCCGTTATCAAAGAAACAAGAATCATCCCCTTACATCCAACAAGCACAATAACACTCCCAAGTGGGCCTGGACCCACCGTCGCTCAAACCATAGGAAATAACGGTCGACGATATCTGTCTACAGTAATTCAACTATCATTTCTGGGTTCGTTATTCTATAGAACTGAGCCTGCTACCTCGATGGTAGAATGTATGAACAAAAGGCTATCAGATGGTATTGAAGATACCTCTGCGCCTGGTTTTGAGGACGTCATTGGAACTCTCGAGGCTTGTACTTCTCAAACAAGCGAATTCGATCGACATTCGACAACAGAATTGATAGAGAATCGTGTTCGAAGTCATTTCGCATGCTATGACCGTCGCCGATTTCACAAAGAAGAAAGACCAATCCAAAGATGCCAAACCATATGCTTTTGGCTTGTCTGGACTATCTATTTGTCTGCCAGCAACTTCTCGAAGACCGAAGGTTATTTTGCAAATCAGACCAAGGACTGGTACCGCTCATTGTGTGGGCCATATCATCCTAGGATTTAATGTTCTGATACGCTCTCGGTAACACGGGGATTTATTGTTTGGGAACTCCTCGCTTACAGCTGAAGCCGTCATTTACTGGTGATAATGCCAGCTGCGATGTGATGCTAGATGATTCTCATGCTCTCCTTCTTCACAAAAGTATGAAAGTTGTGTTAGTGAGATGTCCCGGCGACATCAACGGGGAGCTTGAACTTAAAATGCAAGACCGCCACATTCTTAGCGGATTTGGAAGCCGTGTTATACGTCACTGGCTCAACGAATCCTGTGGCGATCCAGATGACAGTCCAAAATATCAGGATTTGATTGAGTACGTGTTAGATCTTGCTATCTTCAAAAAGCGCCGAATTAAGCGTCGTTGGGATAGGAATAACGTTTCTGCAGAATGCGCCTTCTATTCTTTGGATCACCTGCATGTAGCTTCTGCTGCTGAAGCGATATTTCGTCGCCAAACGTCGATCATCAACGATATACAACTAAAATAAAGTATCCTAAGGGTGGAAAGCTTGGTCAACGTTAGACAAGAAATAGTAAGTTAAGTGGTCGTTACTCTACGCACACCTCTCGAGTCTCTTTGGATAAAAATATTCTAAAGGCGTCCGACAACTAAAATAGTTTTATAAAGAATTAGAATAAATATTACCATTTACTTTTCATTAGCCTTGGTATACAAATACGATTGTTTCACTTGGGCTAGAGGTTTAGTGTAATAACTTTTTATGTTGTATATATGGCCATGGAGTAATAACTGGGTATCTTACCTAGAAGCGAACTTCCTATAAATTTCAATTTAAATGAACGACGAACGTTAGAAGGTACCCTAGATTATAGAGGGTATGAAACAAGAGGATATTTCAAAAGAAATACTTCAAGTTAAATTCAACGACAAAGTACCGGGTATATTCTCATTGCCAAGGTCTCTCCTCGAGCAACACATTACAAATTTGTAGAAGGACGTTGGAAGTTCGAGAATATATAATGTGATTTTACAATTAACTCTTCTGGTGTTTGTGTTTGCGCGTATTGATGTATAGAAGAGTGCTCTGATATGCCAATCTTACAGTATACGAAGGTGCAAACACGTCGTCGTTGTCTCAAGTTTCAAATTCTCTCGATCGCTCGATTAGCACAGTCAAAGTCGCATACAATGTTTGCATGCATTCTACGTCTGTCAATTGGATATAACTTTCACAACAGCGATGTTGAGGGTAGTCGCAGCGATCACAAGGATGCTTTCTTAATAAGCGACTTTGGTTGGAGTGTTGTCTTGAGCTGTGTCCGCGACAGAGATCCATCTGATGTCAAAACACAACCCCAGATCACTAGACTGGTTGTGCAAATGCCTCAGGAAAATTAGCAATTTTCCTTTCCCAGGAACCCTTTTTTTAGCAAATTAATTAAGTCGCTTGCGCCAGGAATTTGGAATCATGTCTGTTCATAAAGTGTATATAGTAATGACCATGCCTCTTAAATTTGTGTATTTTGATTTATTGTTCAGAGAGACTTGATCCTTTCCACAATTTTCCAGATTAGAAAGATTTGTTAAGACGGGTGATGAAGGTGGCCTTAAAAGAGGGAACAGAAGTTCAAGTAAGCAAAGAATACGCCAATCAACGAAGCACAGATAAATGATTCACATGAGAAGATCTTGAACCCTTCCAGTTAAGTCATCACCACAACCAAGCACACCTCTTTATCAAAAATACTCTGTGTCCAAGGTCTGACGGAGTTAGGGATATTGACTGCCCCCTGAATGAGTCCGAAAACATGAATGGGTTGTGCCTACTTGGCAAGATTGTTATTCACACGGTCGAATAAAGGTGATATATACCACGATTATTGGAATGCATAATACTACCAATATTCCAGGGACACATGAGCTGTAATCTTACAGAAGGCTTCTGAGAGCAGTGATATTTGCGTAGAAATGGACTAGACGATTACGTGGTATAGCAAACCTAAGAACGCCAGAGCTAGAACACAAATGATGGATATGGAAATAATTTGTAGGCCCCATGTCCTAATGACAGAAAGATTCTGTGACATACTGCATATGACGATTTCTTTAAAAAACCCCGCAAATTTCCCTTGAATGTAAATTAGGATTGGGGACAAAACACGTAACTTATTAGTATTTATTACTAGGTATATCGTTATAAGAGTTAAGTAAAATTATTTATATTATACTATAAAGTAAAAGTTAACGTTTTATTAATTCTTTGCTTAATTTCGTCTTTTATTTTAAATATATATGTATTAGAAAAATATATTTTAATTAAAAGTCATTTAAAATATTATTTATTTAATAGTTCTTTAATAGAGAAATAACTTCTAGAAATAATTTATACGTTAAATAAGGAATAAAAGAAACTCTACTTTATAACTTTTATAATTAATATTTTTCGTTACTTATAAATAGAAGTAATACTTTACTAGTTAATATAATTATTTAACTAATTAATAGTAGGTAGAAATCTGAATATTCTAATACTACTTGTAGGTAATATAAACCTTATAGAATATAAGTTATTATATAGTATAAAAAGAATAATTTAAAGATTTTCTTAATTTAAACTTTATTTATATACGCTACCTTACTTACAGGTATCTACAGACTATTACAGGTGTTTACAGAACTAATATATTATATATAGACTTTTTAGAAGGTCGGAATATAAATATTCTAAACCTACTTCTAATTATACTAGACCTTATAGATTATATATTACGATTCTAAAATGAGATATTTAAAACTTTTTTTCATTTCCAACTTTGTCTATATAAGCTGCCTTACATAAGGTCTTTAGAATAATCATATCTTTTTTATAACTTAGGTAGGTATAGAGTAATACCTTCCTCTCTTATCTCGAAGGCTCGAAGTATATTATAGTAGATACCGAAGTCAAAAACCCGACACAAGCTCTATTAATAAGGTACGAAAAGCTTCCAAGCTCCTCGCTAAACATTACCAACTCACGTGACCATCCCATTTCCCCTTTCCCCCACCATATAGGTAGAAGACCTCCCTAAATCCAAGAAGAACACACAAAAGATCACACAACCCAGCCCCTCCAATAAACCAATCATCCATCTCCACACAATGTAGGAACAACCCAAAACCCCTCAAACCAACACAAAGACCCTCATGCCTACACCCCAACCCCCTCCAACTCTATATAAACAAACCAATAAAAACCCTAGAGAACGTTACCTACATCCATAAAAGCCCCGCAACCAAACCATAGAAACCCATACCTCCCTCAGGCACAATAATGTTGTAAACTTGTAAGTCCACACAACACTACAATAAGAAAAGGCCCGCAATCAAATCACAAAAAACCATCCCTCCCTATAGCCACAGTAGACTTGTTAATGTATTAAACTATACAACACTGCAACACCATCTTACATCCCTAATACCTAGTTGGTATCGGAGTATCCATTACGGTATATAGAACCAAGAACTAAACACCAGCTCCATCTTCTTCACATTTAACCCATCTAAAAGCATCTCAACCCACCCCTAATCCCCCACTAAAGACAAGAGAATGCACACTCAAAATATCAAATCAAATAAGCCACGCCCAGTCAGTATCTTCAACGCAGAAATCTTCCTCCACGTTCCCATCCCCATCTCTTTGCCTTCATAATCCCTAAACCAATCGCCACCGAAAGGATTCCAAAAACCCAGGCACACTCCTCATCATACCCAACAATCATACCAAATGACAAAATGAAACACAAGAAATATCTCTCAAAAGCACAAGATTTGGATGGGACACCATATTCCATTCTCTCACCTACTTAGCCCCGATTAACTATCTACCCTAACCACAAGCATTAAAAAACACAAGCAGAAAAAAATAACGATGACGTGGTATATCCTCCTCTTCCTTCCCGCCACCCCATTTCCACACATACAATTGCCATCATAAGTAATGCCTGTATTTCTGCTTGTATGAAAATCAACCGCAAATTCCGCCCATTAATGTATCCACCAATCAACCATCCATATTACCCCATCCGTAAAAGTACTACATGAAAGAATGGAATGAGAATGATGCTACTAGTGTAAGAAGATCACCCTAAACAACATCCTTGTGTTCTGCTCTAGTAACACCCTCCTCTTTGACTGCCGCAGACTCTTCGGTCTTATCAACCATGCCCATATCTGCAGCAAATGTAGTATGTGGGATCCACTTGGCACTGGTTCTGGGTGTAGTTTCCTCCAACATGCGGTCGACTTGCTCGAGGGAGAGACCCTTTGTCTCAGGTATCAACAGAAACGCATAAACGAAACAAGCGGTACAAAGTGATCCCCAAACGAAGAAGACTCTAGAACCTAGATTTGCCTCGCCCTTGTTTGTGCCAACCATGTACGGGGTGATGACTGCGATGATACAGTTCCAAAGCCAGTTGGAGGCAGTGGAGAGAGCGACACCTCGAGAGCGGATTGGGAGGGGGAAAATCTCGCCGATGAGCACCCATGCGCCTAAAGAAATGTTAGCCAGTCGTTGGGTCAGAGAGCAAAGAGATTCCTACCAGGGCCCCAAGTTGTTGCAAAGAAGAAAATGTAAATGCAAATGAATGAGATTTGTGCGGAAACAGCAGACTGGTTGCTTTGACTTGGACGTCCAGCTGTAACACCAATAATACCGACAATGAACTCGCAGATTAACATGCCCAAGGCACCCCAAATCATGATCGGTCTACGGCCAAATCGCTCTACAATCCAAAAGGAGAGAGGAGTTGAGCAGACGTTGACTAAAGTTGTGATCAAACCAATCAAAAATGGATTGCTGATGGTGCCAAGCTCCTGGAAGAAGGTAGTGCCGAAGTAAAAAATGAAATTAATTCCAGTCCATTGTTGCATCATCTGGAGAGAAGTACCAAGAATCGTACGTCGCAGATTGGAGGATGCATTACTAAGACCACCCGAAAAGCAAGTCATCCACTACAAGGATATCAGCTTCGTGTTAATTCATGCGGTAAAAAGTCGAAGTGAGGAATAACCTTCTTGAAAATTCAAATATGCGGAAGTGACAAGAGGCAAAAAGGCTGCTTACCGTACTGAAGTAACCGCCTTGAGGAATAACGGACATCTCATATTCATTGTTGGCGACGATTTCAGCCAGTTCCTGTTGAATGTATGCCGAGCCTTCGGGTTCACCACGAAGACGGTGCAAGACATGTGCTGCCTTTTCCAAGTTGCCCTTTCTGACGAAATAACGAGGAGACTCTGGTAAAAGAAAGAGACCGCCAGCAAGGATAAGAGCCCAGAGCATCTGTATAGCGATAGGAATACGATAGGATCCTGTATTCATGAAATTTTGGGTACCATAATCAACACAAGATGCCAACAAAATACCAATTGTGATACAGAATTGATAGCCAGAAACGATAGCTCCACGGACTTTCTTGGGGGCTATTTCGGACATGTAGAGGATGATGATTGCAGACACGAAACCAACACCAAATCCAGCAATTAAACGACCAGCGACAAGGAGACCGAGTCCAGTGGAGGCAGTTTGTAGAATGACACCAATAATGAAGATACCACAGCCAATGATAATCGTAGTACGACGACCAAACCTAGAAAGAAAAGTTAGGCATGTGCTTAGAGCGCCTTCAGAGAGGGAGTATTGGTTGTGATGAGTGAATTAGGATTAGGTCTAATATGCACATACCAATCTGCAAGATCACCGGCAATGAGAGCTCCAAAGAAAGTACCACAAGAAAGAATTGAAGTGATGAGTGACTTGTCCTTGGCTGGCAGCGCAAAGTCCTTCTTTTCGGCGTCGGTGGCATCTGGACCTGGGATTGGCTTGTTGGTGTAGAGATTGATGAAGTATGGCATTCCCATGACCCCAGAAATATAACCAGAATCAAAGCCAAAGAAGATTCCACCAAATGAGGCGAAGACACACATCAAGTAACCCTGTAAATATCATGTTAGTAGCTGTCGCTGTAGTTACGTATCACTAGCGAACTATTCAATATACCTTCAAGGTCACTGGCGCCTCAATACGAGACGGGTCACTCGTCGCAACCAAACCTCCGCCGGCCATCTTGTTGATTGACTTGGCGGGTTGTATTGAATGTTTTGGTTTACTTGACTTGGGTAGAACGCGGTAGCAAAGACAAGATAGTTGTTTGCGCGATTGAGAGAAGCAGCTGTGGAGATGGACGAAGGATTCCCGATGAAATCGGTACTGATCCGGGCCAAGGCAGATCTGGGGTCGAAGCAGAGTGTGGGGAAGGAGGTTGAAGAAAGCAGCTGGAGGCAGTTGCAGGCGGGTTGGAAGGTGGGGATGGAAATGGGATTAAGAGCTCAAGTGTAGAGTGTGGGGAAAGACAGGAAGGAACGCCCAGGCGAGATCCACTCAACAAAGGAAAGGAGGGATTGTAGGTGAACTTTTTATGAAGCGCGTGAACAGTTGTACGGAAGCTAGAGACGATGGTCAAAATAGATCTTTGGTAAACAATAAGGCGCCAACAATCTTTTATCCAATGACAACGTAGTACCATGCAAGTAAAATGTAAACTGCTGCAACCATGAACTTTTGAGGTGTGGCAACACCAACTCAGATCCATCTACGGCTCCGTATTCACCACCGCAACTCAACGCGGCACAGCAACTACAATGAATGGAAGATCTGGAATTAGGTGCACTTGCCTCCATTCCTGAGATCTATTGTCATTGCCATTGTCATATTGGCAACGTTGACGTTGCCGAGGCGCTCGCCTAGACGACCTGAAATGGAAATAACAGATAATAAGTGATGCCCGTAGGCAACGGATGCTGAGGCTAAACGCGCTTGCATTGGGTATCATCGTGCCAGCCGTTGCTGTTGACTTTGTAATTAACTTTGTACGAGGTGCAATCCTTAGCAAGTGGCAGAAACACACCTTCCTCAGCCGCCACATATTGCCCCTGAGGAGCTTAACCAAACTGGAGTAAGTGCGTTGATGACTTCTAGCCAGGACACCAGTTCCTCCTCCTCCCCCGCCTTTACTCCAAACATGGCTGCCAGTGGCTGCATCCGGAGAACGAAGCCGCCTGCATTACCACCAAACAGTTGACCGAACAGCTGCACACCCCGAAAAAAACGGTCCGATTTCTCTTGCAAAGAGCGAATCAGACCCTCCTTTAAGGTTGAAGGTTCCGAATCGACCCCGGCTCTACCTTCTTAAGCGACTGACAGATGAAAAAGCTTCCATTTTTGTTGATTCGCAGAAGTTTGCGGGCACAATTTACAATATCTCTCAATTTTGAGCGCGGCTGGATATATTACGTGCACCTTCGAGACCTTTGGGAGGGTTGCGGTTCCAATGGGAGAAGATTGACCTGAGTGGAGGTGTTACCTGTACCAAAGTTCAACATATGTCTGCTGCCGTGGCTTACCATTCGCTTGGTACGGGGAAGATGGCATGAGCAAAATACTCGAGTATGCCATGTGCATGGAAAAAACGCAGTTGATACGGTTGCATTAGCACTTGCTGGATTGTGAATCTTTCTTGGTGTCGAGTACACCAGTACTGAAGTAGTATCTTGTGATTTCGGTCCGTTTGGTATTACCACTCCCAACATTATTTCCGACCCCACGCCTACATGTACAGTAAGTACCATATGGCGCCGAGAACGGCGAGAGCAGAAATGCGTCAAACAGATCAATTTCCTGCGGTTCAACTTCCCACCGAGGAGAGTCCGAGATGCTGCAAAGGCATTGTTCGTACAATCTCATCGTGGTGTGGCAGCAGATGCTCGGAATGGCCCTTCAATCTGCTGATTTGGTCGGATTTGGGGCTCTGGACTGAAGCCACTGAATGAATGGTTCGATTCGCACTCGTATTGACATCGGTGCGGGAGAGAAGATGGCTTTTTCTGGAAGATCACGCGGATTCTTCTTTTCTTTGAGTGAGAATCGACTGATATATCGATTGCTCTGGTGGCGAAAAGACCAAACTTAGGCCGACCAAGAATTGTCCAGTAGGACGAGTGCTGAGATGACACTCCAGCTATGCCTGATCGTACTCACCGACGTTGGATAGGACCAGGTACTCAGTACAGGGGAAGTACATAAATAATCCTTCCCGAGGTCAAGATATCGAGGTCGTACCTCAATGACGACATGGTATCACTTACTTCTCCGTCACGGCAACGTCAACCCCGACTCGTCTCGCCTGGCTGCTCATGAGGTTAAATGCGCCTTCCTTAAGCTCAGACTCCAACTTCGTCGTTTTCGTTGTCGTTTTCTCCAAATCCGCTCCTACCCCACTGAGTGCACACCAACATTCTTTCGCCGTCGTTTTCCGTGGAAAGCCATCTCATGCCCTTCGTACCTTCCACCACTCATAACCAGGCGGGAGCTGGATCTCTCCCGCATCAGCATGTCGATGTCACCTGCAGGTATCCTCGGATATCGTGACCCGCGAAGAACTGGGACAAAGAGAATAGAATCTCGCTTCGTCATCGGTCGTCAATTGAGGATTCAGAAAATCAACATGTCGAAAGAAAGATAGTCTCGGCCCCACTACAACCTAAAGAGTTGACATCGTCCAAGTACCGGGCTGGGGGTACAGTAGCGTCTCGGGGACACCTCCGTCAATTGACCGGGGGCTAGATTCCTTCCTGTTTGGCATGTTGCTTCTCCCGTCGTTCAACGTCGTTGTGTGGCATTTTACTTCCATCGTTATTCCCATCGTCAAGTCAATATCGTCGGGTGCGGGAGCCGCGAGACAGAGAGAAAGACTTGAGCCTCTTACTGCATTTCCCCACAATTCGCCACAAGTCTCTCGTGAGCGCCACGATATCATCGTCTCATAGTGTCTTAGGGTGAGTTGAAATGGTTGGCTTCTCTTGGTTTGGGAATCTTGGAAATCCACGTGGTGGTTTTGCTCTCTCGCTCCCAAGGTTCTGGATACGAATGAGGTACGAATACGAGGTTGGCTGAATGTGATGTGTAGGGACTCTAAGGGAAGTGGAGGTTTTTTTTCTTCATTGGAACTTATTTCACAGAGGGCTGAGGTCTCTTGTTGTAAGCTTGAGTACAGAGAGGCATCTTAGAAAAATTCGGTTTTTCTTGTAGGGTTGACTATTGATAAATCTGCGAGTTCTAGTCTCTTTATTTAAATACTACCTCAAACCCTAGGAGATAGGTAATCTACACCAGAAAAGGAGAAAAAATGGCTAGATCAGATGATGTTTTCGTAAAGTTGTCTGTTAAGCTAGATGATAGTATCTTGCGCTATCTTTGCTATATCGTTATCACTGAGAATTTATATCGTTTGGAGCGGGCTTTTACACCTTAACAATCCTTTTCTATGAAGGAATGTATGGCTTTCGAAAACAGATACATTTTCGACAGTAAGAAACAATTTTTCTACTTTGCGTTCGTAGGAAATTTCAAGTAAGTCTGATGTTGGACGGACTGAAACTCCTTGCATTTGACGGATTTGAAATTGAGTTGTTGTTGATATGAGCGTACAAAGCTTATGGTATGGTATCGTCTTGTTTCTAGCTAATACATCCACGGGTATACTGTGGTAACCTCCACCCACACTGAAAGTAAGCTAGGAAATAGTTAAGCCTCTAGCAAAACTTAAATTTGGTGTGGAACTTCTGCCGGGTGATTGTAAGAGGTTGTTATGGAGTGTAAGCATAAAATGGGACGTGTCATCTACCAGACTTTTTCATAGTCCAAATATTTGGCGGTATATATTTCAACTTTGTTTGGAATTGAATTGGAATTCGAGAGCGCTATAAGTGGACCGACTACTAATTCTCGTTTGTATGGGGTAGTCAAACATCATTATGAATGGAGGTTCTTTGCCACCAGACGACAACATTTCGTACCACAATAGATTGTTAAATATTCTACTTCCTGTTTTGGAAGACAGGTATCTTGGTCTTGGGCAGATGCTGAGGGGCCAAAGTATATTCGGTGCCCTTATGTTTTGCTTCTCTATTTGCCAGAAGTCAAGGGTGGGTGGGTGGTGAGTTTTGATTACTGGCTTCAGAAAGTTGATGGTGAAATCAAAGCGAACACTGCTAAAAATGATTGGAAATATTGGCCCATGATGGAGGGAAGTAAGTACCAATACGAACTTTGGGAATTCATCAGCTAGCCGTCAACCTACCCACAACATAAATATTCCTAAAGCGTCCAAAAAAAAAATGCCAAAAAAATCCTAACGCCTTACGGCGTCGCCAGCGAGCGTAAACCAGATGTACTGAGTTTTTCTATAGCTATTGGGCTATCATTCCTGCGCTCTTCCGTTTTGAGCTAACAGGCACCATATTTCAGTGTGTACGGCCGTTGACTCAGAGGACTTAACCACTGAACCAGATAGACGTGTTCCGAGGCAGCGTACAAATGATTGATGGCTGGTTGCTTAATTGGAGCTTTGAAGGACATGGGTGTGTATTTGTGTGGGCTGCGATGCTAGCGCGTGTGAGGACCCGGGATGGTGCCGACGCTTCATGGTTTATGGATTCCTGTCAATAGGCTATTTACTTACAGTATGTGTACAGGGCTGGGAAAATTTGATCTACTGAGTGGGAAATTCAGATGTATTATGCCTATACAGACCAATTTGGGAAAAATTAGAGACAAGTACCGCTCAGCTTGAGTTGTACTGTACTGTCTAAACATAGTGAATATATCTGCTTCATACACCCCGGAAATGAAGGTTCAATAGACCCGCGTTTTCAAGACTTCACTCTGTCTGCATCCACCCAGACTCAATGGATTCTCAGGCATGTCCACCTGATCATCTAGCCTACTCACTAGTATCCAAAACTCAATAGACTCTTACGAGACTTTCATACAATCCCTCAAGCAGGAGCCAAAATCAAGAGCCAAGAAGATGTCAGGAAAAGACCAAACCGAGCGACAGGCACTCATAGGTACTTAACCTGCATTCACTCCTTTTCAAGACAAGAATGATACTAACTCAAATACGAGGCCGGATTAAGCGGCTAAGTGCAACCTTAAACCTATTGGGCTTAGCAGTGAAAGAATCGACTTCAATTCTCGAATCTGTCCAAGAAACGCTAGAGGACGGCGGCAATATCAAGAATGGACCTCCTCTCATTTCGCCTCAAACATCACAGAATGAGGTGGACGCATGTTATGATATTTTGAATACGTTGACTGCATTGATAAATGGAGAGGATGGTTTGACTGCTCGTCTTAAGAGGCTTGATGATATGGTTAAACCACGCACAAAAGCCAGTTGAGGCTGGAGTTTGATAGGTTGGAGGGTCTAGCTCGGAATTTATGATCGTTGGTCTTTTTGCTCTACACATACAACGTGGCACAATTTTCAAGCTTTTTACTGCGACTTTTGGGAAGTGCGTAATGCTGTATAGCAAGTCTCTCCTTTGGTTCTTATACTTCAATTCCCAACTCTATCTTTTGATATTTTGTCCCGTTTGAAATTAGCCTACGGTGACTCCTTGTTTTTGAACCCACCTTTTTCCCTTCCAATAACGACAAAGCTTTTCTCCGTGCTCGATGTTCTTCTCTTTCTCTTTTGTTCGAATTTATGGTGTTTCTTCGCTTGTTGTTGATACTGCGGGTACTATAATAAGGACGAGGAGCATTCCAATCATTGTGAATAACAGTTGATTGCCCTGAGTTGGGGTTTCGTCAGATAACGGTGGATAGTGTGTTATTCGTTATTCGGATTCAGTGAAGCTCAGTACTAATCACAAAACAATCTTCCATTGTCGTGTCTTTGTTTTCGAAAGCTCCCCAGGGACCGTCTTGGTATATTGAGCGATTTGAAATACAGTGAAGTGTTCATATAATAAATTATCAACCGAGATCAATCGTTACTTTCCACTCATTCTCTGTCATTGTCACGCGATGGGAATGCCCCAATAGTCAACACCGTCTTCTCACGACTAGGTATTATCAGATGAGTATCTGGCAAACGTTTCAGAAAAGACCGCCGGGGCACGTTTCCTTATCACTAAACTAAGTGCGTGGGTTGATGTCGCACACTTTCGGTAGACAACGACAGGAGTTTTCTCGTATTTTAATAAAGTGGCTGGAACTTGAAAAGTGTCTCGTTCCAGTTGAGTGTTCTTGTTCATATGTATTTTGAAATTTTTTTTTGGGAATTATGCTTAAGACATCCCTGGCGGCTTCATATTCTGAATGGTATCTAGATTGCTATGGTGTTGTCCGTAGTTTTGTAGTCTGTGAACAAAAAACACAACGACTAATGTCCCAGACTGCTCATTCACAGGTGGCAACACTCACATAAGATCACTTGTATAAGAGATAGTTTCCTGTCGAAGGAAAAGAATGCAAAGTTTCTTTCCAAAATCTACTTTCATTTCTTCTGGCGTTGACACCGCTGCTTCTTCGCCTTCATCTGAAAAAGGGAGGTGACCCATACATAACAGCTCATCAACACGGTTCCCCACTTCCTATGGAATGAAAGCTCCTGCTAGTATGTCTCGCTTCAATATTCAGCATTTTATATGTACACATAAGTAAAGGTATAAAATACCTAGTTGTTACTGTATATAATACACAAAAAACTATTACACTAAACTTGTAGTACAAGTGAAATATTTGTCCTAGAATACCTAGGCTAGCAAAAAGTAAGAGTTAATAATTGTTCGAAGCTCTTTATATAACTAAAATTTATTTTAGTTATACGACGCTTTTAGAATAATTTTATTCTAAGAGAGGTGTGTACAGAGTAACGACCATGTCTCACGTGGACTTATCCGAATATGTAAATGGGTTACTCTGTGGGCAATAGACGATAATGGGAAATCAAAAAAGGCTGAATTGTTGGTGGGTGTGAAACTCAATTTGTAGGCGGAGGTTCACCTTACTGCCAGGATCAGAGGAGGGTTGATGTTGCCAAGGACGACGACTTGGTGAGGCGAGGAAGGAAATCCCCTACCCAGTTGTTAGCTTGAGGTCATGCTATTTTCCTATCTTGCTAATTTCAGAAGAAGATATTACTGGTTTCATTAGAAAATAGACTTATCAACAGCCCTTGAACTTGATGCTCAAATGGTTCGGGTGTTAAGAGGGTGTATCTTCTAAAAGAAATTTCTGACGGAGCCTCAAGATACTGTATACCACCTGCGACTTTGACAAAGCACAGTGATCAGTGTAGAGTGGAGAGTTGAGGGGTCGTGTGTTGTAGCACTTTGTCTGGCAAGGGCCAGTCCCTAACTGTAGGTGGTGATGATGATGTAGGAAAATGGGTGCAAGTGGAAAGGGGTGAGCACGTGCCTTCGCTTACAGTAGCGTCCAATCAGACAAAAGAATTTCCCACCTACCGTAAAGACATCAACAGTTTACAAAATATCATCACTTGTCAAAAGAAGAAGAATATCACTATACTGCAAAGTAGCTTTATTGGAAGAAATTTCATCTGAGTTTTTGTTTCTAGACATCAAAAACTTCCAAAATTCTATGGTACTGTATCCATCACATCACAAACCCCTCCGAGAAGCTTCTGGTAAAGCCAATGCTACGCTCAACCATGTTCATATCATCTACTGTCGCTGCTTGCTTGGGATTTTCAAAGAAGGGTTTGGCTTCTCCTCTGGAACTTGGTATTGCGCTTGAGACTCGCCATGCTCTGCGGTGGCCTTGGCTTTGAGTGCACCAGCCTGTGATGGCATAGTGAATGGAGTTGGCGATTTTGGTTGAAGAGGCTTGAAAGATGCACTTCGGCGGTAGTGGAAGTAATGATTCGGAGAGTCGGGGATCGTTCCAGTGCTGTGAGATGGTTGAGGCATTGAGAGAGCCAACTTGATAGACCGTTCTTTTCGAGAAGGGAACTACCAGCAGGAGGGACACTTTCAGAACCACCTGAAGGCGTAGCAGAATCTGTTACTACCTCCACTTCCGCTTCTAAATCAGCCATTATTGCCGCCGCCGCCTGTATGAAACGCAGGTAGCAGAAAATCATCGTACGTTCCCTCCCAGGACGTAGGTCTTCGAAATTGTTGAAATCTTTGATGGATGTGGTGCTTGTAGAGATAATTATCCTGGTATTTGTTCGGCAGAGACACCAGACCGGTGGTACCTGAGGGAATGAAGAATTAAATTTTCGAAGATGCCCTGGCACTCCATTCGCACAGCCACACTGCTCTGAAAGTTCATGTTCCATGTTGATAATTCTAGATTGAGTATTTTGCTTATTACAGCTTGGTGATGTTATGTGATTGTAAGGTCCTTGTGTCTAGTGTTGGAAATGCTGGATGGCGTGATGGTGGGGATTGGAAATTGGATCCGTAAGCATAAAAAAGCGCTAGTCTCTAACGATTGGCCTTACGAATTCTCCTTTAGTTTGTCGTCCTTCCTCGTACCACAACCCTTGACCTGGCTCAAAAGCAAGCTCAAGTTAGCCACCATCCAATACGGACGCCAAATTTGTTCATTCCACATATCCTCTACAAACAGCCATAACCCAGGATTTGAGTATTGCAAAAGACCTTGGTAAAATTGACAAGCAGAATATGCTAGGTCCCACTTCAATGAATCAAGGTTACCAACTTCAAGAGCTGAAATATGGTTCCAAATGGACAATTGCAAATCTTGTATGTCTCGTCTCCTACTTTCGTAGTGACATTTCCTCGTCCCCACCAAGCACCAACGAGATATATCGCTGATAATGCTCTTGCTACAGGCCGAATTTGCTCCATGGAGGGGTCACACGAGCTCTTATACAACCTTTACCAGAGGTCATTGATTTTCATGAATTCGCCTCTATCATCAACACCAATGCCCATGTAGCGGCACAACGACAAGATGCCTCCAATGCGAGCGTGCCGTTCTTCAGCCCACCATCTCCGCTCCCACATTGAACCGACGAACCATTGCCACAATCGTTGTTGCGATAACCACATACCGTTCTTACCCACTGCATTCTATGCTCGATCTGTTTTGATTCATCGCTCACCTCACGAGACCCGTTCTTCCCCAATGATTTGCCGCCCCAATATTACGGACGACGGCATCGACTTCAGATCCCGACCTTCGGATATCGTGATTCGTCAAGAAAGTGGTCGGGATTTCACGTCAAGATATGCTCTTCGCCTATATCGTGACCCCTTGCTTGTTGGAAGGGGGGGATAAAAGGATTGAGTGTAGATATATTTGGAACGATCAATACTAGACAGGAAGGCAGAAGGAATGCTGAAAGGAGCACCCGAAGATCATGTCATTGTAAATACTTCAGGAGAAAATAGACACACGGCCTCTAGGCCTTCAAGACTTTGCACAATGATCATGAAGATAGTGGCAGCAGGTAAAATCTGAGCTTTTTTGCTAACGGGTCGTCAACTAGCACATTAATTTTGCCTCTGCTATCTGCTTATCGAGTTCTGCAGTTTTCGGTTTGTGTGCCATCATTGCTAATTCATCTGTATTATGGATCTCTTTTTACATTTAGACTACGATATCGTTCCGGCCACGGCTCCTCCAAGACAACGAGAGTAACATGCAAGGTCAGCTCAGTAGTAAAGAAAGGGATTGGAGAAATGATTATAAACATGGTGATTGATATGCAAAAAAGGAAGAAAGAGAAAATGCTTGTCAAACTTCAATCTGAGGGTGCTTCCAACTGTTTATGGGTATTAACACTAGAGGGCCTCTGTATTAACATGTAAATAGGTACTTGGAAGCTGGATAGAATCGTTGAAAGGTGTATTCGAAGGATACCGGGAACATCGCCCTCTGTCATTTTGGGCACCATAGAATACTGGAACCTAGCACAGTAATCGGACATGCTACAAAGATTTTCACTTAAGTATCAAATAGTAGTGTCACACGAATTGGCGGCTTTCTATAGCTTGGATGATCATTTCAATTTTTAAACCATTGCTCCAACGAAAATCCGAAATTCCCAAACACACCAGAAAGAACCTGCAAGAAAGACCCGGGCCAGGTTCCGACCGAGACGATATCTGAAGTTTGCGCGTATTTTCAACAAACGGACCGAGGAGAGCAGGCACAACAAACAAACGACCGAAGAGGTTGACGATGGCCCGCCGGCCAGAACGGTTGCCATATTGGCTCGCACAAAGAACGGAAAACGATTTTGATAAGCAGGTTCGTAACTGCTCCTGGTAACAACGTTCATTGGCGATTTTGGCGACGCGCGTCCTGTCGACGGAATTCGGACCATTGCTTCTATACCAGAATTATCCTCATGAGCATGGATTGTGTTCATTTGTGCGGGTTATCGTACGGTGATGATACGCTCACCATGGGCGTAGTCGTCGCCACGCAAACGAAGACGACGCGCGAGTCTTGCCCTCTCCAAATCGGAGAGGACGCGGTTGCGCGCGTATTCCGCACGCAAAGCCACCAACTGGTTATTTGTGACCCAAGTACTCAACTCATCGTCCCACTCACGGGTCGCACCCCGTGGCTTTGGTGGGTGGTTGGGGGCGGCAGGGGAGACGTGGACCCCACTAAGGAGGTCAAAAACGCCAGGGAGAAGTTGGGGCAGGTTATTCATGGTTATTTCTATTGTTTGTGAGCAATTGAAGTAGGTTCTATGATGATTTGGTACTTACTTGTTCAGTTTTGTTGCGTTGTATGTGAATTGTCCCCAGTGTTTTTTCGGCTATTAGCCGAAAATGATAAAAAGAGTAAACAAGCTAGAACGTAACGTGACATGGTCTGTGCGCTCTACGCAAAGTTTTCTTAGTCTGTCAAATGAAAGCTTGGTTAATTATACTAGAATCTATACATTAGCTAAAAAGTTAAATTTTGAAATTTTACTAGAAGAATAAAGCTATTTTATTATAATTATATATTCTTAAGAAATAATTATATATATTATTTATTTTAGTAATATTTAAAGGATTTATTTTAAAGTATCTTTTTCTATTATTTTAAAATAAGACTAATTATCTAATGTTCTTTATCTAGCATTTAATTATTATAACCTTTTTATATATTTTATTTTAACTATTTATTATACTTCTATAGTATAATAGAGTTTAATAAGTATAAAAAGAATAGAATAATTATTCTTCCTTATTTATAATAGTTATATAGAGTCTTATTTCTTTATAGCTTTAACTTAAAAAGGTTTATATAAAGATTTATTATAACCTTTAATTTTATATTTATTTAAAATAGATCTTATATAGCTTTATTTAACTTAGATAGTTATATCTACTAAGTATTATTAAAGATTCTAAAACTTAGTTGTTACATTCTTAAGATAATCTTTTTCGGAGGTTATTTAGAAAAATAGTATTTAATAAGAATAATTTAAAGCTCTCGAGTGCTTTTCTTATAGCAATAAATTAAATTAATTCCTTACTTAAGTTAGTACAAGTATAATTATTAAGTAAATAATAAGATTGTAGAGTTCTTTTATATATTTATTCGTGTATACTTTACTATATTATTATTCTACTATATCCTATATGATATAACGTCCTATTTTCTATAGTAACGAGTTAATTATCTATATTAGATAAGTCCTTATATTCTTACTAGTCTACCTCGCGAATATTATTAATGAAGTACGACAAGCTTTATAGTAAAGCACTTTCGCGATTAGAGTAATTCTTTTCGAACTTTGTAGGTAGAAGTTTTAGGGACGCTTATTAAAGTCTTAGAATCTTTTCTCGGGTAAACGGATAGTTGCTAATCAAGGATTAATTTTCAGGCTCCTACATATTGAGATCAATATTTCTAGATTCCTTATATCAGAAAAGATCAGAGATAATGTTAAGAAGAAAAGTAAGCTTGGATAAGATCTAGCTAGGGGGAAGAGCGTCTCGTATAGGCCGCCCATGGCCGGTCGGAATATACTGAAATAGTCTAGCACAGGGTATTAGAATGAACTATCACATGCTAGGAGGAGCCGAGAGCAGATACTGGTGCTATAATACCTTACTAAAGAGCGCAAATTTTGAGAAGATATCTGAATGTAGGGACCTTGAAAATTCAGTCTGGCAAGATCAGCAGAAGAGACAGAGCTCAGAAATACTACAGGACCTTGATATGAGGGACCTCTCACAAAGTTCTGTTGAATTTCCTTAGTGATGGAAGCGGCTTCGGTCAAGTAAGAAATCTGATTATCTAAATATCGCCGTATGACCGAGACTATAAGTTCTACATCTGCCCTTTGAAGCTCAAATACATCAGACCACTGTACCTAGTCTTCTGGTTCACCATCACTGACCAACGCTCGGCAAAAGGAACTATATTCTATAGAATTCTAGGTTGAATATTCTATATAGAATACTTCTAGAGCACCTGTAAAATAGAATAGAATCCTTCTATTAGCTAGGCTTTAGAATTCCAGGGGTTCTATAGAATTTCAGAGATATTTAGACTAATTAAAATATAGGATTTATAGTAAGAAAGTAAATATTAATTAATTTTCTATAGTACGATTTACTATACTTATCCTACTATAATAGCCTTAATATCTTTATTACTTGATTCCTCTAGAACCTCCTAAAAGATAATACCCTAGTCTCGAAGGTATATAACCTACCTAACTTTCTCTCTACTAATACTATATCTGTCTTTTGTAATAACACAACCTCCCTTAGAGAAAACGCGCTTAGACGATACTAAGGTTACTAGAATTATAAGATAATCTCGAGCTATTTAGAAGAGGATTAGATAATCGTGTTACTTGCCTAGCTAGTATTTTATAACCTAAGAATAATCCTCCTTGTTCTTTAAACAAGGCTCCTTGATCTAGTATAATACTTTCGTCTCGATATAGATTTTTCCCTCGTTCCTCGAATCTCCCTAGAGACTCTTGTACTAAGATTAAAGACTCCTCTAAATACGACGTTAACTTGTCCTTAATTATATACGCTCTATTATTTTTAAAGTTAATAAAAGGATTCTCCTAGGTATGAGGTAGCGTCTCTTAATAACTCTATTATTCTATATATTCGTCTACCCCGGCCTTATAACGTTATAATTTAATTTCGGTCTACTAGCCATTATATTTATTATATATTATAGTAACATTCTTTTTAACCTTTTTATAAACCTTACTCCTCTTACATCTCTTATTCCCGCTAACCTTTCAAAGAAATATAATTTATACTAAGAATTAAGAACTATACTAATTAAAGGAGCGGTATTTGTAAGAGAGGATTTATAGTATTTAGTAAGCTTTATATAGGCCGCCGCGGTAGCGTCTTTTATAATCTTTATTAGGTGTATTATCTTTAATATTAAAAGCTAAGTTTAAAGGGCTAAAAAGTATAGAATCGTATAATAGAAGATAGGATACTTGTTAGCTTAAAGAGCTATTATTACTTTCCTAAATAGGCTAAAAAGCTCCTTTATTTAATAAATAGTAGTACTTAATTAAAGGGTTAAATCTTTAAATTATATAAACTAATTTAATTAGTTCCTTAAGTCTAAGAAAGCGTTTAAGGAAAAGATTTATAGAGTTCTACTATAGGGTTATTCGTTTAGATCTAATTTAAATAAATTATGAATAATTAGTAATTTAGTCGTTTAGATAAGTTTTAATTGGATTCTAATTATATATATTATATAACGTGAAATATAACCTCGAAGCGGAAAATCCTATACTCTAGCGTTACTATTATAACCTTAATTCTACTCCGTTATCTATTATCTCTATATACCTTTATAATATTTATTACTATTTATAGTTTTAATAAGCGAGAAGTTAAAATAATACCCGAGATAAGAGAAAACAACTATATAAAAGGTCTGCTTTATTTCTACTTTTACTTTTAATTTATCTCGCTTATACCTCTTATAGCTCTATATCTATGTATACTAAGATCTAAGTTTAGAGGTTAAGTCTTTATTTAGGCTAATTTAGTAATTTTTTAATTAGATATAATTTACTTAAGTTTAGATTATATAACCCTATTCTACTATATAAGTATATTTAATTTAATCTCTAAGAACTTAATCTTAAGGAATTATATTAACGTAATAAGAGTATTACGAAATTAGCGCTAGTAAAAGATAATAGTTAAAGCTCGTACCTTAAAAAAGAAAGACTTTAATTTAAGACTTAGATCTATTTCGCTAAAAATGTTAGTATAAATTAAATTAATAAGAATTATACTTACTCTAGAATTTAAGCGAGGCCTTACTCTAAGATAAAAGTACTATAAGGTTTAACTAGTAATACCTTTAAAGTCTTAATACTATCTTATATATAAAGGTTAAAAATATATAATAAGTAGTATATATTACTATTTATTATATTAAATTATAAGTAGTATTTTACCTACTTTTCTAAGAAGAGTTTTTACTGGCGCTTCTTAACCTTATATAAGTATACTATAAGAAGCGTATTATTAGGTAAGGTATTATCTTAAGTAACTAAAATAATTAAGTATTAAATATTATATTCCAATATTATGTCTATAAGAATTTATACTATATACTCTCCTAAGTAAACTAGGTCCTCTATTTTAATAATATCTAATATAGTAGTATAGTAAACGAAATTAGCTATAATCTAATATATAGTTATTACTATATATTCCTTATTATTAAGTAAGGTCTAGGTATTTATTTATTTATTACTATTTAACGTCAGGCGGAATCTAACTCGCGTGGGCTAGGTCCTAAAAGTCCCATTGTTGGGCAAATGACGCTAGGGGGGTGCCCAAGGCTACAGGGGGTGTAAATGAAAGTGCGCTAATTTACAAGAGATAGTTTAAAGAGAAGCCCCACTTCCGGAACAGCTCTCATTCTGAGTTAGTTTAAGAGCCAGAGTAAAAATAAGTTAACAGT